GTCTGCATATAGGGAGAGCATTGTGTCAGCTGTCTTCTTCGGCACATCGTAAGTATAGATGTTGTAGAGCAGGGGGGTTAAGGCTGACCCCTGGGGCACGCCTGCTTCCAGCTGTCGTCTGGCTGGCGAGCCGGTGTTCGTATATATACTGCAGGACCGGTGCTCTGAGGATGCTCTGCCGCCTGTAACACATCATGCTTTCAGATATTTGGGGAGGGGCGACGCGACGTTGCCAGATGTACGGTACTACGGGCTACAGGTGGGGCAGGGAAAAGGTGTTATTGACTAAATGTACGGACCTGTTTGATGGATATGACCCGCTTAATTTCTCTGTTATACATGGTCCTTATCAACTTTTCTCTTAAAGGGTCTAATGGAAACATGCCGCATTTGTCCCTCCAACCAAAGACAGCTGTTTCGTGCTTTTTTGGCAACTCATCAGTATGGTCTGGGCTTGGTCTCTGGGACAACGAACGAAAGCGTAGCAACGGTCCTCTAACCAGGATATACGGTCTATGGCGTCGTCTTATGCTGAACATAATCCTTAACGAACTAATGAAGGCGTTTCGTGGGAAGTATGAGAGTCAACCTACTTAAAGCCAATTTTTCAAATCATATTTCCAAATGAACAGCTCGGTTAACCTACACACCGTGCGGCTTTTGGTTTGGAAACCGACGCGCGCCTTGCCTTTTTACACCGGATGTACGCCAATGCTGTCCAATTCAGATTTTTTCGGAGCTTATCTCTGGCTTTAGTGTCTGCTACTAAGAAAATTGCTTATTTTGACATGAACTACATGCTGTGCAAAGTTTTAATAGGACAGGTTTTCATTGGGTAGATCTTATTTGCGAAATGAACGTGCACAACCTTAAAATAAGACAGTCAGTTGCTTAGCAGTTGCTTTCGACGGGAATGCCAGCGAATTCAAAATCAGGTTGAACTCGAGCTTCCGTCAGGTCACTTTTGGTGAGAATAGTGCCACAGATAACTTAAGAGTCAGATTTATAGACGTTCCTTAAAGCGTGAACCTTCCTTGGAAGCAGTAAAACAATGACGCTTCCTTGAGGAACGTTCAAAGGAGTATTTAAATATTCAGTTCACAGAAGGCTGTAGAGTAGAGAGTTGCCATCACAAGCTGCCATCGATATCAGAAAGGGTTTCTTTGCTGACTGCTTTGCTGACTGCTCCTCCATGCATCTAAAAAACGGTGCTTTAAAGGAAGTAGCAAAAATATATAACGAGACCAGAGCATCCAAAAATCGAGTGAGAAGCAAAAAAATAATAATTTCTTAATAGAAATAGTATTTCATACGCTTGTTTGAAGTATTCCCTATAATTTTTTGAGTTGTTTGCTTGAATATATTGTATTATTTTGGGTTATTTTCATTAAAGATTTCTGAAATTTGTTCTACAAACTTATTAAGCAGTCATATGTTTTTAATTCTAATGATTCCTTAAAATTTGTAGTATTTAGATCAAATGTATCTTCCCTTTTTCACTAAACTTCTTTTTTTTAACATTATACTTTATAATATCTATTTTGGGAATAAAATGCTCTTTATCAAATACTGTAGTAGTCAAGTCTGACAGTTGCAACAAGTAGAGCAATTTGGTGCAACAGTTGCCTGTATTCAGTTTCAGCGATTTTGCTGTAATTCGAGGAAGCAAACACACTATTAGTTTGCATTTTTTATTGATGTTTAGTACAAATAAACCAAATCGTCCGCACTTTATCATCAAAATACAGGGTGGTCCATAAGTCCTTTGAAATTTCAAATTTGAATAAAATGTAACGGGTGAGCGTGAGCGGCGCGGGCGAGGTGGGGGCAGTATCTTCAGTGTCTGGGAATTCAGTCGCCATGGAGTGTTTCACTGGAGCGGATCGTGCTTTTTGTGTGTGCGCGTTTTATCAAAATAATGATTCGGCAACCATTGCGCGGCGTAAATATCGAGAATACCACAATTTACACAATTTTACAAAGTGTCCAACAGCTCAAACGATTAAGAACTGGGTTGCTTAGTTCGAAGAGACTGGTTCGACGTTAGATAAACTGCGGTGGGGTCGACCAAGGACAACTCGTATTGAAGAAAACATCAACATTGTGGCACAGTCTGTTCGTCAAAATCCTACCCAGTCTACTCGTAAGCGTTCCAGTGCACTAAACGTACCCAGAACATCTTTACAGCGGATTTTAAGGAAAGATTTACGTCTGCAAACTTACAAAATTCAGTTAGTGCAGGAATTAAAAGATAATGACGCTATTCAGAGACTAAACTTTGCGAATGAAATGTTGAATCGATTTTCTTCGCTCAATAATGTGTTGTTCTCGGACGAGGCTCACTTCCATTTAAGCGGGCATGTAAATAAACAAAATTGCCATTATTGGAGCCCCGAAAATCCAAGGCGTAAGCATCAGAAGCCCTTACACAGCCCTAAAGTTACAGTTTGGGCTGCTATGTCAGCGCATGGCATCGTAGGCCCTTATTTTTTTGGGGACGGCAGAGGTCGCGCATTAACTGTTACTTCGGAGCGGTATGTAGCAATGATAGAAGAGTTTTTGACACCAGCGTTGCAGAATTTTCCAGGCTATAATACGCAGACCTGGTTTCAACAGGACGGAGCAACTGCCCACACCTCCAACACTTCTATGCCCATCGTCTGTCAACTTTTTCCCAGCAAAGTAATTTCTCGAAGAGGAGACATTTTCTGGCCACCACGTAGTCCAGATTTGACCCCAATGGACTTCTTTTTATGGGGCTACCTCAAGAGTAAAGTGTACGACACCACTCCGCGGTCAGTTGATGTCCTGAAAGAAAATATCCGAAGAGAAATGGCAAGCATTACAGTGTTGACTTGCCGCGCAGTCATCGACAATTTTAGACGTCGTTTATATGAGTGCCGTGATTGTAATGGATTGCATTTAGACGATGTGATTTTTAAAACATAATTCCCATTCAATAAAGATGATAACAAAATATAATAATTCTTCATAATGTAACTAGTTTGGTTTTATTCCTTTTTTTCCAGCTCAAAGGACTTATGGGCCACCCTGTACTAAATAGATACGGTCAGCAAAAACAAACTCTTTCTGACTTCGATGACAGCTTGTGATGACATCTGTTACTTACAGCCAACTGACAGATAAAAATTTAAATCCTGCCTCGGCCGTTCCTCGAGGACGCGTCATTGTTTGACTGTTTCCAGGGAGATCTCTGATACTCATTGTTTCCAAAGTTGCCCTCACGACTTAAGGAAGGTCTATAAATCTGACTTGCTTATGGCGGTCCTTGTCTAAGGGCTGTATCGTCAGTCATTCCTACAATAATTGTAGGACGCCTTTATGGACTCTTTGATTTTCATAGTTTTCTACTATTCCGTGTTAGCGCTCTGTTTTGACGTCATGTTACAAATGTCTATTTGCATCAAATTGCTCATACTTTTGATTTATATGATCTGTTATATAGCCTGAAATTTCCTACAATTCAAAAAGAAAACATAGCCTGATAATAGTAGAGCGTTGACGCTGAAACGGAATAGTAGAAATTAAGAAATATCCTTTCTGAAGGAGAGGACAGTCTATGAAAATCAAGGAGGCCATAACGGCGTCCTACAATTGTAGGAACGACTGACGATACCCTAAAGTATTAAACTAGTAATATTACTGAGCACTGTCCACTCGGACACCCTGGGCGTACCGCCGCTGAAATTTCGCGGAGAAAGCAGCAAGCACCCTCGCACGAAGGGAGAGTGAAGGGCTTGCAAAAGGCGAGGGCGAAAGGGAGAGGGGAAGGTAGCAACGACGGACTACGCGACGCAGAAGGGAGGGAGTAAGAAGGGCAGGGGAAGGAAATGTAAAGTAGGCTGGTGGTGGACCTGGGTCCGCGTCCAGCTTCCAGGCGGCAAGCGGCGGCTGCCCTGAGGTATTGATCTGAAGGCCTAGGATGAGAAGCGAGAGATGGGGGAGGAAAAGGGGGTGAGGAGAATGTGTGTGTGTGTGTGTGTGCTGACACGCACTCGCACCCCCGCGGATGGCTGCCCTTGCAGGATGACGGTGTTTCATAGGACCTACTCTCATTGTTTCCTTACAACCCTGCTAACATGCTATACATTAGAGGATGCTATTATGCTGCCAACTATATGGTTACTTAGTGTTCTAAAGCTGGAAGATTATTTAGCTTTCTTAAGCTAAAGAAATATACTGGTTCCCAGCCTATCCACAAGCCACTGTTGTGAAAAACGTATTATTTCCCTATAAGTCAAGCATCCTGCTATAGATTGGATATCTACGAACGCTTATAACAGTTCAGCCTTGACATCTAAGCTTCTTCTTAAACCATAATAATAATACTAGCATGTATTGTCCAACAGTTACCCATTTACAGGACAATAATAACATGAACAAAATAAAGAATTTGGAAATAAAATGGTCAATTTAAGTACTGATAAGCCATCTTAATTACTACACTACACCAAATTCACCAACATTAATATTATGGACCAATGGGAAAATACCTTATCGAAATGCAATTTGACAGAAGCTGTCAAAGGTCTCTGAATATTAGTGATTTCTATTGAAATATTGAATAAAATCGTGAAAATTCGACTGTATTTTAACCCCTTACTGCATGATTTTTTTTGTTTTTGTTAAAATAAATATATGTGCTAGTTCATATTAGAAAAGTAACTAGAAAAATATATAAAAAAATTATTGATGCTTTTTTTTTTAAAAATAGCCTTTTTCGACATGTGCCAAATTTGACACAAATTGCAATAGTTGACTAATAACGGAAAAATGTACTGAAACCATATATGTTATAAATCGTTAAAAATACATGGGAAAACACCTAAACTAAATGTAATTTTGAATAAACATTTATTTACTCCAGATGAAAACGGCGAAAACAATTACGGTCTTTGTTCAAACATAATCTAACATTACATTTATCACACCAAACTTGTGTTTTCCCCTTACACTCAGGAAATTTGGCGATCTTCATGCTACTCAGGAAGATGTCCCACATTGTCGCGACGAATTTCTTGGGCTGGTATTTCCGCAAAAGGATATTTCCTTTTTTTTAAATCCAGTTGAGGCTGTAGTGAGCTATTAGGTCTGCCTCGCTTTTTTGAAGTTACGTGGGATCTTGTTAGAATTTCTGCTAAACCAAGTTTGAATTGAGCCAGTGGCAAATAGTCATCAGAATTGTTCTCAGTGAGAGCTCTTCTCCACAATATCCCAACTATAACAGACAACATGTCGAGGAAATGGAAAAATATTCTTAGGTAACATTTTTTTGACCTTATAAGTATCCTATGGGATCCTAACATCGAGTCAAGTAGATCAACACCTCCCATATAGTTGTTGTATATTTCTATACTCTTTGGACGAGGAATCATAATGTGCTTTTTTTCCTTTCTGCAAAATCTCTGTACTTCGGAAATGGGCCGACTGCCTACGTAAGTTCATACTGTGGTAATTATTTTGTTATCATACCAGGAAACTACTGAAACATCTACGCCATCGACTTGAGCAACTCTCTCCATAATTGTACCTCTACCTTTTTTCTTCATCATAGATTCCTTAGGAAATTCGCAATCTGGCACACGATTTTTGCGGCCAGTACCAAGAGGCAAAATGCCCTCTTTGCTGAGATAAACCAGTAATGGAAGCCCGGTGAACCAGCTATCAAAAAAAAAACCTTGTAATTTTGATTCCTTGGAACTGACTCTGTAAGTTTCACTACCGCATTACTGCTTGCCCCAAGATCTGGTTGATAAGGCTGCAACTTAGTTGGCCCAGAAAAGAAGTCGAAATCATAACTGAAGCCTGATACTCCGGTTAGTACGAAAACTTTATAGCCCCATTTATGAGGTTTTTTGGGTTATATTGCTTGAGGGTTGATCGAGCTTTTGTTGGTATAATTTGTTCGTCAACTGCAAGATGCTCTTCTTTTGGGACAAGTAGGTACCTCTTTCGTACTTTTTCTAAAAAAGGACGAATTTTGAACAGCTTATCGTAACCAGGTTCATCGCGATTTTGTTGCTTCGTATTATCATTGAAGTGAACAAAACGTTTTATTTCTTCAAATCTGTTACATGTCATAGCTTCGGTTATTGCAGTAACTCTCAGTGTACTACTCCACTAGCTTCTAGTGGATGGCAGGTGCGCTACAGACATGTATATGCAAATTCCAATTAAAATATTTATCTCTTCTTTAGTTATATTTGGTGGCTTTTCAGGCCTACATTGGATAGCATATAAATTGGTCTGTTCCATTATATGTACCAGTATGTCATCCGTAAAGAAAAACTTGAAAAATTCGAATATACCACCCAAATTCAAAATATCTTTTCCTAAGGAGTGAGATCCCTTGAATAATATGTCTTCGTCAGATACCCTCAACTGTTTATCTTCCCAATCAAAACAAACCTTGTTTTTTTTCTTTGCCTTGTTTGCTGCAATGAGAGTTGAAAGGGGAACATCGTCTTCACTATCGGAAAAATCACTTTCTTTAATCACAATATCTTCGACCATCTCTCTATCAAGCTGTTCTTCTTCACTGGTATCTTCCACCAGAACTTGAGAAAATGTTTTTCGGTAAAAATTATCATCTGACAAATTTTCATCTTCACTGCCACTCAAGTTCGGAATCCCAACAGTTTTAGCACCATAAAATCGTTTTGCATCCATCTGAAAAAAGGGGCAATAATATAGTCAGCTTTTCTTTTACTGCAAGTTGTTCCGATTATGGCACAAGAAAACAAATGACGATAAATCAACATGTGTATGAGTTGAAGGACATAATTTTACAAAAGTCACAATAAGACATACTTACCAGAACGTAGATAATTTTAGTTGCACCAAAAATTTTATTTTTGAACGTTTTATGGCCGCCACAACTTTATAAGCGAATGTAGTAACACGTGCTTACGGGCCGCTAAACGAAATCTGACGCAATTCATAAAATACGTGCTAGAGGGCGACAATGTTTCTTGGCGATAGAGAAGCGAGCGTGCCAGATATGGAACAGTTTAGGTTAAGGTCTTTAGCTGTTGGGGGACTTGAAAAATAACATATATTTCACGTGTGCCAAATTTGGGACAATATGCGGTAAGGGAATAAACAAGACCACCTTTTGATTCCAACATGATGCTTTTGTACAGAAAAAACAGGACAACTTTCATGTATTTTGATATATGTTATAGGTTTACATTTAACAATCCGTTATCCCCCTCAGCGAATAGGAATCCGGCAAATAATAAGTTGATTTTCTAGCTGTTAAATTTGGCAGCAGATTTGGACGTTTGTTAATGCATGGCACTCTCGAATTTACCAACTTCAATGTACTGAAAGATATCATTACATACCTATTGAATAGTATGGATTTGTCTGTATTTTGCAAGAAAATAGAATATAAAATACATTCCATCCAATTCCTCATCTTCCTTTACGTCATAATAGTAATCATTTATTAATTTATGGGTTAATGAATTTCTTCAAAGCAATAAAAACATTATCTCCTCTCCATCCTGAAACAAAAATAATATGTGTAAGACGTGTCAATCCCTACATCTCCCTAATGCATAATGCAATTACTATGGACATAGACAAAAAATTATGAAAAACGTTTCACAAATAATGTCCTTTAAGTCCAAAAATCATAAAAACTAGTAATGTTTATTGTTTGTCTTTTTGACTTTTTTTGCCAAGTCTAACGAAGATCACGTCCCGTGGTGAAGGGTGCGAAATGAATCTTTTACATTTGCTGGTTTTGATTTTTTTCGTGGAAATTTACTAGGTATCATGATTATAAGCATCTTTGGTAGATTGTTTCTTTCCGGAATGGGAAAGATCTCCTATTTATGAAAATATTTTTGGTATCATCTAACCGTTGCAATCAGTGCACAAACACTGTGACATATGATTTCTATCACGGCAGCAACTGGTGATTTGGGCATGTCCGGTAACAACGTATGAAGTGAAACTCGCTAACTTCACAAATTTGAAGATTTTGTACAATTTCTTTGAAATTGATGAAAGATATGTCTGATTTGGCAGGGTAATGTCGCAGCCAAATGGCAGTCACTCTTTCTGACACAGTCCGGATCGAAAGATGACGATACTCGTGAAATGTAATGTATTGATATAGTCAACGCCAAACAAAGTGGCGTGCACGTCATCACGATAAAAATTCCCCGACCTAATGCCTAGGTTTCTATCACAAACAATTGCTCTATTGCAGTTTCATATTAATGTGATATATAAATTGTAAAATGGTCATTACTCTCTTATTATGGTTAATAGTCATATAAACATTGCTATTAAAATATCACATAAGTTGCTTTCTGATAAATTTAGACGCATTATGCGAAATAAAATGTTTTGCAAACGCTCCAATCACTTATCGATATGTAGACGCACTAAACCGATTTCGCAGCGTTGACACATTGTCACCTTGAAACTTATTTAAACTGGGAACTGACATTTGTATTAATTTTGACACTGAATCAATTTGTGGCATTTCAAATCTTTATAAATCCTTTGGCCCCGCATACTGTAAATCAACAACTGTTTGTTTCAAAACAAAATTATTCATTTTACGAGTAGATAAAGGCAATTTTGGTATATAAAGATGCCCAAACAGTTAAATAGTCGGTGTAAGGAACTCGTGGCCTCGTTAATGCACTACTTTGAGCAAGAAAGGGACAACAACGGGCCTTTGTTGCCTTTAAATGCTGTTCAAGAGGTAGGTTACTAATAATTATATGTAATGTATATTAATAATAGTGAAATTTTATTTCATTTTTTGTAGCGTGTTGCTGCTGCTTTAAAAATTAGTTTAAGGACAGTTAGTCGTATTTCCGAGGGTGTGAAAAGTGATGCAAATTTAGAATCGCCCAAGAAAAAGCGGAGTTATATTAAACGTGTAACCAACACAGCGGCATTGGATACAAGTGCCATTCGAGAAGTGATCTATAATATGTATCACAAAAGTAAGATCTTATTATAATAACTTATCAGAAATTTGCATTAATTTGTTAACTAAATTATAATGCCATATTACACATGGTTTCAGAAGAACAAGTTACGATACAAACTTTATGGTCTCGGTTAAAAGATAGGACATTATTTGATGGTAGTGCCACGTCTTTAAGGCGGTTGCTTAGAGATCTTGGATTTAAGTGGCTTAAGGACAATCCGCGACGAGGGCTCATGGAACTACCAAGTATAGCTTTGAAAAGGGTGGAATTTCTAAGGCAAGACAATCAAGCCAAGGTTGAGGCCTTATACCAGTTTGTCTTCCTTGATGAAACTTGGATATTTCAAAATGGGACCATAGGTCGCTCTTGGCAAAATGGAAACCAAAAAAGCGTGAAAGCTATTAAAACAGATGGTAAAAGGTATGTACTTTTACACAATTTGCACTATAAAATTTAAAACTAATATATTTTAGATACATTATATTACATGCTGGAAATGAAAATGGGTTTATTGAGGGTAGTGAAGCGATATTTTCTTCGAAAACAAAATTGAGCGATTACCATGGAGAGATGAACCAGGACAATTTTTTGAAATGGTTTCAACATCAGTTATTAGAAAAATTGGAGAGTCCATCTATGATTATACTGGATAACGCCCCTTATCACAGCATGATATTGAACAAAGTGCCCAACAATGCATGGACAAAAAAAATATCCAAGACTGGTTGACAAATCAAAACATACCATTTTTAAACACAATGTTTAAAACAGAGCTATTGAGTATTGTTGCTCGGTACATAATGCTTCTTAATTATATATATTTTGGTCGACAGTTTATATTTCTTTTGTTTATTCCTATTCTTAAAATAACTGCTTTTTTAGAAACAAACCACCTAAAATATACGTGATTGATGAATTGGCGGAACAACATGGGCACAAAGTTCTTCGTCTGCCTCCTTACCATTGTATATTTAACCCTATTGAGTTAATTTGGGGCATAGCAAAAGGTTACTATAACAGACATATTGGTAGAGATGGTAACAGTGAAAAAGACTGTTTGGATATGTGGAACGAGGCTCTACAAACGGTTACCCCAGACATGTGGAAAAATAGTGTTCGACATACTGAGCAAGAAATTTTTAAATGGTATGAAAGAGAACGAATTTTTGATCGACCAGACATCGAACCTTTAATAATCAACTTTGAGAGTGATGAAGATTCAGATTCAGACAGCGCTGAAGAAAGAAACTCCGACTAACTTTATTGTACAGAAA